TACTGGAAATCCTCCGTGATCCGGAATTTCAGTTTCCAAGCTCAGAGGGTTGTTGAGCTAATAAAGCGCTCTGTTGAATACTTGTTTAATGCGGGGTCGATTGAGATGAAGCTTACCGCAATCGAAGTAAAATAAGCCCATGCTCTTGCAGCGTTGGGTGAATTATATCCCCCTGATTGACCAGAGGTTAACTTGAGTTACAAGGGCGAAAGGGATCAAAGTCATATACAGACCTCCCCCTAAGAGCAGCTTCTTGCCAGGCCATTCATTCACTACTTTCTGTACACACCAGCCCATGGACCCTACATTGTCGCCTAAGGACCAGTTGAAAGTGGCGCAGGGATCGCCAGCTAGAGCGTCGACGCCGCACTGGAGAACCACAAAATCTGGTTTGAAGGTATTGCGGATCTTTTCCACGACGGGCCATATACGGGCGTATGTTCTGTCCGATGCTCCTTGCTTTAACGGCAGTGATAATGTGAAAGGATCGAAATTGGAGGCAGAGGGATCAGGTAGGTTGGCACGCTCTGATGCAGGAAAGAACCCAAGAGCCGCATGGTGTATGCTCAGAGTCTGAAGGTCATAGTCAGATATCGGATTTGTCATTCGTCATTCTTTCTTACCAAGACTTGTGGCGTCGATAAAGATACTGGCGAGTAAAAGGCCTCAGAAACTGCATCTGAGAAGTGCAAATCTAAGTCGAGATACATGATTCTAGGTTTTTGAGCGGTTGTTGGGCCATTGAGGAAGGTCGGATTCGAAGATCGGATGGGCGTCTTCTTGAGAGCTAAAATTGCCAAAATACAGTCTGCAACGTAGCAGAATCCAGATGCCTGAGATTTCCGTGCGTGATGTCTGGCCGTCATTCTGAAGTTAGGTTACAATGTCATCGGTAGAAAAATTTCGAAATCACCTCCCACCATCCCAACACAGAGCAATATCAGCTAAATTTTGCTGCAGCGCTTTTGTGGCAGTGAGAGTCGCGCCACCAATTAATTGGATGTATTCTGCAAGGCCAGCAAAGCGCGGACAATCCTGTCAATTCTGATGAGCAAAAGGCGAAAGATAGAAGACTCGCAGAGACATGCATCTTCGAGCCCGAATTCGGCGTTGATTTCCACCTCTGTTTCTTGTTCTTCGTCTCCGTTGTTAACGTCGAGTACAGCGTCAAGATAATCACGAGTGTGGTACACAGCGAGATCTTTATAGGAAGCTTTTCTGGGCCCAACTACCTGGAGACGTCTATGTTCGCGATCGGACGCATTGTTCTTCATAAGACCCAGCGCGCTAACCAGAGAGTGCACGATCATCGACCGCTTCTTGTTAGACGGCAGAAGAGCAGATATCTGTGAATCTCGCGATAAATCGGTCATTCTTCATATCTCGACAACGGATGAATAGTTTTAGGAGTGCATGAGTGTAGTGGTGTGTTACCTTGGCTAGGTCTTGAGAACCTATGTAGACCACAGGTTTGGGGGAGCTTCCATCCATATTGGCGGATATCGTATAGGTGTTCCCTTTATTGTTGGGTTGTGAGCAGAGGATTAGACCATGAGATCAGAAAGATAACGGAATGTGACTGATAGGTGCTTCGGATGTGTTTACGGTCCTACGAAGATTTCAGGATTGGACGAAGTATGACCGCAAAGGAACTCACAAGTTACCAGTAACTAGGCACCTATGGATGCCCTTGAATCTTACTAAAGGCTTACAAGATACAGCCCGACGAGAGGATCGCGCTACTCAACCTTCACTGTGATGAAGAAACAATGAAGAAAGCTTGCCGACGTCAACAACTGGTCAACAGTCAAAATTAGAATGAGTGAGGGTGGAAAAGAAAAAAATGGACGCATTGGGAATTGAACCCAACACCTCTCGCAAACCATGTTACATGCTAAGCGAGCGTGATAACCAACTACACCATGTGCCCTCGTAGAAGTATCCTCATAGACTCATAGATGGTATTAATTATTTAACACTTGATGTAAATCACCATGAAGTTAAAAAATTAAATTTCCGTCTTCAGAAAAATTCAAAATTTAAATGTTCCTTCATCTGACATTCGTTGAAGAGCGTAAAAAGATGGACGCATTGGGAATTGAACCCAACACCTCTCGCAAACCATTACTGAATGCTAAGCGAGCGTGATAACCAACTACACCATGTGCCCTGCTAAACAAGGTTCACACCTTCATTCCCCGACTGAACTCCGCCATATCTCCGACGCGGTTGGTGTGCGGCCGATCCTCCCAAGATCCTCCTGTCCAGCCAACCACAGCATGAGAACTCGAACGATGGACTTCTTCCCTTCGACGCCGCAATCGCACACTTGTGCACAACCGTCATGGCACCCTCTTATCGCCGTCTGCAGCAATATGCGATAGGAATCAGTATTCTCAGTATCCTTTACAATACCGCAGAGGGTGCAGTTTCTGTCGGATTGGGCAGCGAATCGTCGTCTCGTTCGCTTGTATTTTTTGGCGTGCAGTCGGCCATAGAGGTCATATCCGCTGCCATTGTGCTATGGAGGTTCAAGAAAGTTGCCCCACCAGGCGAGGAGAGGGCTGCGAATTTAGGCGCCAAGGAGCTAAGGCATGTCACTTTTCGATATAAGGTATCGTTGTATCGCAAACTCAACTCATATAACAAATTATACAGAATCGAAAAATATGCCTCGGCTACCATCGGCGCGCTGCTCGTTGGTCTTTCTCTTGGAACCGAGATATCTGCTATCATCTCTCTGTCATCTCACCAACACCCAGACTCGTCCAATGCCTCCCTCATCGTCTCTGCCTCCGCCCTCGTCCTGATGGTTGGCATATGGCTGCCCAAACGGTACCTCGCCCGCGCACTGGACAGCAGCGTGATGGCAGGCGAAGCGACTTGCTCTTTATCCTGCATTCAGATTACCATCGTTCTCTTCATCGGATCTCTGGTTTTCAGGCTCTGGTCCGGAGGATGGTGGGTCGACAGCGCCACCTCGATTATCTTAGGGTTCCTGTTCTTCTGGGAGGGATACAAAATCATCAAGTGGGTCAGAGACCCAAACTTCGATGGCGGATGCTGCAAGGAGTGTCGTGACGTCGGTGATGCAGAGGAACTGGGCGAGTGTTATCGGGATTTATGTGAATGCTGTGCTGAGAAAAGTGAGTGCAAAGAGGCGGGGGAGTGCAAATGCAGTCCTGCGAGCGCAGGCGAAGAAGTACGTTTACTTCTACTTCTCGGCAGCGCGTGGCTGATTTCATTATTTGGAGGCTATCGCGACTACCTGCTGCTCGTCTCCTAGTACGGATGGGTCTAAATGCTGTACACATGAGCTCGTCAAAGGGACTCGACCTAAACCTGTTAGTACATTTTTGCGTTATCACCGTTCTTCGCCTGCTAACTGTATCAATTGCTTTCTACCCAGGCTGGCACATGTGCAAGCAATCTTGGTCCCTCTGCAAAGCCCAAGGATGATAAATGTTGCTCAAACGGCTGTGCTGCGGAAACGGAATGCCCATATTCGAAGGAACCCACCAATATGCAAGGCTCCAGAACTCCTTCGCCTGCCAGTGCATGTTGCAGCGATTGCTGAATGAAGGCATGGTCAGAGTTCGAAATCGAGGAATCGAGGAATCAAGGTCTATTCGTCTTCTATTTTCCGAATGTATTATATGGTGTACCATTGGAATAAACTTGAATTTGTTTTTGCAATTTGAATATGGTGAAGGTACAAAAAAGCAAATACGGCTCCGGAAATCCAAGACAGCGCGAACCTTGAAGACCTCCCAAAGTACCCAGTATACCGACCGAGGAAGCTACGATAACAATTGCCCAAGATCTATCCGACACCTAGACTCAATCCACGATGGCCAGCACCTTGCAAGCCAATCGCGGGTACAGACATACCGTACATACATTTTTTGAATCGATTTTAAAATGAATATATATTATGAGTTTTACACATTAGGTAAGGCTCCAACCGTACACTATACGTATACGGCTGACGGCGTATATATACAGATATGGTTGTATACCATATACATACCGTATATATACAGATATATGGTTTTTCTATAGGGTTATAGGATTTAATAAATCAAATACACATAAATCAAGTTCTCTGTGCTTTGTTTTGTGCTTCAGAGGCTGGTTAACATCAAAATAGACCTTGTTTTAGCCTTAAGATACACGCACAAGTCGGAGAATTCAGCTATTTTTGTTGCCGATGCTACTGCTGAGTCTACACGATGTAACGAGACACCGCGGATGAATGGCGCAAGTCAGCCAGAGTTCTCGCATGGCGTGCCAGGGACATGCGCGGCGGAAGACAGCGGGCGCAATATGGCATGCGGCCACGTATACGGTACGGGTGTGCAGGAAACGCTGACGGCGGCGGCGTGGGTAGCATGCACGAACACGCCGCTTGCCACCCTGGACGCCTGCGCCGACCAATTTCCGCTCTGCTCAACGCATCGCCAGCCGACAAGCCCGCCCCGAAGGTGCACACAGACAGACGAGGAAGACGGCAGCGCCTCGCGGACACCTCACCCATGCGCGGCGCGTTCATGCTCGCGTTCGTGGTCGCGCCATCCTCTACAACCCGCGCGCACTCACTGTCTACACATACAATCAGTGTTGCATATGCAACGCTGTGCGGCGTGGAGACGCGTCGTGCCAGGCATTGCCATACCCGCAAAACCCACCAGGCGGGTATGGGTTCGGCGAGGGTCGGCAAGGATGGGCATGCGCATGGAGACTTGAGAGCACAGTGGCGGAGGAGAGCGGGGGGCCCAGAAATATATTCCATGAAGACTATATACAAACCATATACAAAACTGTATATAGTATAACTACAGTATAGGCAGGTATCCCAAAATGTGTATACATATACATATACATATATGGTATTTACCGTATATATACAGTAATGTATAGTGTACGGTTGGAGCCTTAACATTAGGTGACATTACGACATCCCATTCCTCCACAATCAGAAGAGAGAGGAGCAAAAACTGTGGACGCATTGGGAATTGAACCCAACACCTCTCGCAAACCAAGCCAACGACCATAAGGACGCGAACAGATGCTAAGCGAGCGTGATAACCAACTACACCATGTGCCCGTTGAACTTGCATTCGGACATACACAATTCGCAAATGCAGTGCGTAGTCTCTACTGACTATAGAGTGTATAGAGTGGATGAGCGTCTCTTTAAGCGCCCGTGGTGATCGATGGGCGCTTGTGTGGAGGTGAAACTCAGGTTGGCGCTTGCATGTGTCTACACAGATGATAGTACCGTTACCAATACTCTAGGCTCTAGAATACTATGAACACTGCACTGTACATACTACAGTGTAATATGTATATATGTAGTTATATTATTGTAATCGTATTCCAGAGGGAAAAACAAAAAGGATGGACACATTGGGAATTGAACCCAACACCTCTCGCAATCACACCATTTAATGCGAAGCAAGCGCGATAACCAACTACACTATGTGCCCTGTGAGGCTCTCTTTCCAAGGCTATCACCGGTTACGATTCCTCTGATTTCCGTCCAAAACGCACACGAAGATAGGCCGTTGTAAGATTCCTGGGCGCTTGCTGAGCATTTGACGGAAGGTTCGTATTCACATCTAAGTATAACGAGGCGTAGAAGGGTCCTAAACAACTAATGAATACATAGATACTACATTAATAATAACCAAGATACACCGTTCGGCGGATAAAATAAAACAATACATGTCTAGTGTCCATTTTCACCACCGTGGAATATCGGAAAAGGCGAAAGCAAGAAGACGAAAACAGAAAAAGAGGAGAGGAATGGAATGCAGAGTATACTGCTAGGTTCAATCAATTCAGCGAAGTCAAAGGAGGGAAAATAGTACTATGCATGAGCATAATCATGAGGGGTCGATTCCTCCTTCTCGCATTGCGCTGGCAGACCAATGCTCTTGCGGGCGAGCCCGACCATCAAGTCGACGGACTTGACATAGCGCGTAAAGTGCCCGCCGAACGTGAGGCCCCAAAGGTATCCGAGATACGACGCGCCCCCTCCCTAAAAACAACCCCAATCAGCCCCAACAATACACTCAAATCAACGAACAAAGCCCGCATACCCGCCCGATGCTGATAGCCAATATCTCGGGGCAGTTCTTGTACGCCCTTCTGGGAAGGCGGCCGTCGAGGTAGCTCATCACGTTGCTGATGACCACCGGCGCGTGGCCCATCGAGATCTTGGTGAGCTGCTTGGCTTCCGGCCAGTCGATGACGTCCCCGAGCGCGAATACGTTGTGGTGGCCCTCGACCTGGAGCGTCGGGGCCACTTTCACGTAGCCGCGGTCGGTCAGCACGGAGGGGCGGAGGAACTTGAGCAGGGAGGTGTTCGGACGCCCGCCGCGGGCGTAGATCTGATGCAGGAATAATGAATGGGGTGGAAATGGTTAGATAGAGCAGAGATCTTAACGAGTAAGTCGCATGGGAGGGACATCCCGCTGCTTGTCTGTACGGATCCCTGGGGGTTTGGGGTGCCTTCGATGGTGTCGCTGAAGAGGATATTCACGCCCCGCCGACGCACACGGCTTTCAACATCAACTCTAAATATATTTGGGTACATATCCCCAAGTAATAAACGATTGGCCTGGACGATAGTGATGTCTTTAGACTTCAGGATGAAACCCGTGTGAGTTAGGCGCCGAGGAATGAAAAAGCAAAAATGACATTGCTCACTGGGTAAGAATCCTTGATCTCCCCGGATACTTCTAAAACCTCCGAGCTCAGCTATTGATTTCTCAAAAGGCGCCTCAAATGCTTACCTATGCCCACCGCTCCACCTCCTGCGATTACAATGCGTTGAGCATCTCGAATTTTCTCACGCCAGCTTGATACATGTTCCTTCAACGCGGTCTCTTCGTTAGGGAATGCAAGATGCCCAACCCAGGTAGATCCCGTAGCGATAACCAGGGCATCGTAAGTCACTGTTTGCCCGCCTTCGAGGACGACGAAGCCGCCTCGCGAGACGAGAGGGTCCTTGTTCTCCTCGATGGAAGTGACCGTGCCGATCTTGATCTCTCCAGGAAAATTACCGAATATTTTGTCGTAAGACATAAAGACGGAGCTGAGAGGCGCATCTGGGCTCGCTAAGAGTCGCAGCGTGCCAGGCAGGTATATATGACAAGGTCTTGAGGTGATGAGGACCAGCCGATGCTTGGTTTTGTCGAGCTTCGAAGCAAGCCCACGAACGACTGCAGCCAAGCAAATGTCAGTCAGATCCTCTATGAGAACGACGGTGTCAGACAAATGCCACTCGCCTGCAGCTCCTGCTATTCCGCCTCCAATGATGACCACCGAGAGGCGAGCGTCTGCTCGAATCTGTCCAGATAGCGTGCTCATTCTGTGCCAGTGGTAAGAGCTGGGGAATGGGAGAGGAGCAGTGGTGAAACCAGTTTCCACGACTCTATGTAGTTTATCTGCGCAGCTGCGTGTATATAGTGAGCAGAGATGGTGTTCCCATGAGACAAGATTGAGCCAAGTAGTCGCAGGCTAGCGTGTCCTAGGAATAGTATATTGTGTGCACAGCGAAGATCACCATTTGGTTCTCACTTCATTGCAATTCCGGTGGGTTGCCGCCCAGCCTGACGGGCACTGCATGAGCTTCTTTGCTGTGGATGCAGTTGTTACCGTCGAAGGGCGTTTGAATAGAAAATGACGGAGATATTTCTACATCAAGAAATTAGTTCCCACCCGACAACGTCATTCAGCCTTTGGTCTGCACGGCGACGACGATCAGTCAACGTTCTCCAGCAGCTGCCTTTCGACATGCAACATGTCTCTTATTAGCGACACGGAGTGAGCGTCTCAACCCAGTTGCACACCGTTCAATGCGGGCTTACCATCTTGTTCCATAGTTTTCTCATTCACAGTCTTCGCCTGTCCTATTTGCGAGATGTCGACGATCCCTATGGTCCCAGAATCATCTCGTTGGACCCCTCCTATCAGTCCAACCCATACATCCTCTCTGCCTCCATGACCGACGTCGACCGGTGGCCGCAGCTCGCGATGCCCTCCAGCCCAAATCTAAGCGAGGACGAGCAAGATCGACCGCTGGGCTTCCCGGGCGCGAGGCTCAAGCACACGCAGACGATCATGGGCGGACGCACAGGCGGCCTCGGCCTCCGCGTGCACGGCAAGAGGGCATCCACCTCGAAACGCATGTCCGTGTCCTCGCGCCAGCTCGACATGAAGAACTTCGTGTCCGATAACGCGCCCGTGCAGCAGGAGACCGCCCCCGCCGAGAAGGTGCTTGCGCAGTCGGCGCCGGGGAGCGAGAGCTGGGTGAAGACCGGCGCGAAGGGTTCGAGTTCGAGCTCGCCAGAGCCGACCGTTGAGGTGCAGCAAGCGACGGCTCCAGAGGAGAACCCGGTGGCCAGGGTCGTGCAGTTTATTCCGAAATTCAAGGGTGCCGCGGAGATGGAGGCGAGGCGGAGAGTCCGCATGGAAGCCCGCCGTCGCCCCGGCGCGCCTGTTGCACAACCACCACCTAAACTCGATTTTTCCTCTTCAGAGGATGAGGCCCCTGTCCATGAGCCGTCCCCGGATGACTCTGTGGTGGTCGTGGACAGCATGGATGAAGGAGACGAATTTGATCCGTATGTACTCATATTTTCTCTATCTGTGCTACTGACATCAAAGCCTCTGCCCAGCGTATTTGCCGCAACACGAACTGGAGCAACATCAGACAGCGCATCGGATGCGATGTCAATTTTCTCTGCAGGGACCGCGACTTCCTCGATAGCAGTCTCATCTTCGCAAACACTCAACCGGCCCCGCCCCCGCCTGAGCCCGGTCTCAGAGCACACCGGCCGCGCACCCCGCGCACCCAAACCAGACGACGGAGCGCGCAAGCGCCCCGACGCGCCCGCCCGCAGCAGGGGCGACAGCAGCACCTCCACGACCAGCACCCACGCGCACTCGCCGTCGCTCACGCAGCCGCCGCCGTCCCCGGAGAAGCTGTTCGTGCGCCGGAAAGTGCCGCCGCTCCGGCCGCTCACGTCGAGCCTCTCCGCGCTGCTCGCGTCGTCGGGCAGCTCGTCGAACCCCTTCGCGGAGATGTACGCGACGATCTCCGGGCGCGGCGAGTCCGCGGCGACGAATGTGCAGATATACTTCCCGCACGCGAGGCAGCCACACGGCAAGGCGATGGACCTGAACGTGCGGCGCGACGCCACTGTGGAGGAGGTCATTGGGTTCGCGCTGTGGAGCTATTGGGAGAAGGGCTGGTTGCCCAAGCTTGATGAGGGCCTTGCTGGCGAAGATGATCCGAAGCGGGCAACGAGGCTTTCGGCTGTGGGGTGGATTCTGAGGATTGCAGAAGACGACGGAGAAGTGGATGATGATTTCCCTCGTGCGTTTGCTTTCGCTGTTCTATTTCGGAAGTGTTGTAACAATTTTTTTTTGATAGCACCTGATCGGATGGAGAAAGTTACCAAGTTCTCAGAGGCATATGCCATCTTGGAAGCGACACCTACACAAAGTACGTCTGTTGGCACTCTTTCATTCTCATTCATCTCAAACTTATACGTGGTGCAGTTCAACAAAACCAGATTCTGGAAGGCAAAATCCAGCGGCGGCCTTCGCGAACCATCGCAAAGAAATCAGTCGACAAGCTCAACCTCCCACATCCAGCTCTCTCCGCCACAGCTCCAACGGGTGCGATATACGGGTCGAACTTTGTTACTGGTGGCCTATCGACATCATTGGGACCTTCATCAAGCCACGGGCCCCAGATATTCCTGCGGATTCACACAGCAGATGCTGTGCACATATCCACAACTATACCCGTGTATGTACCTTTTGCGTTTCGTATTCCAAAAACCAAAGCACACATCTGATATCATCATCCCAGATCTGCCGGGATGTACATGCAAGAAGCGCTCGAGCTGGTATGCCGACGCCGAAAGCTGCCGAATCCCAATGAGTACGCTCTGCTGCTCGCGGACCAGAGCATCATCCTGCCGCTCGACCGTACGGTGGCGAGCCTGGAAGGGAAGCGGGAGCTCCTGCTCGTGAAACGCAACATGCTCCCGCAGATGGACGTCGTTATGCCGAAAGGCATCGGGAAGA